AACGCCCTGGGATGTAACAACAGGGTCGTCTTAAGATGGGTTCCGTTGAATTTGCCAAGAAGCTCGCACGCACTCAAAGAGTACACAATTTGGACCCGAGACATTTTGTTTAGTCTCAAAAAACCTAGCCCGATTGACTCTTGAAACTCTGTAAACAGTAAATCACTTAATATCTGGTCTGACATACCAGGCTTAAAACCTTAATCCGGGCTTTTGATCGTAAATTCGCTTCAGAAGCCCTGGGATTAAGTAAAAATGAATTGCGCATTCTGGAAAGAGCCCTAATTGGACACTATTGTCTTAAAAAGCTCATGCCCATCCTGGGACTAAGCAACTCAAGGATGTGCCGGTTCTGTTCCCTAACGGAAGAAAGGACTCTAAATATCTAATCTTTCTAATGTCTTAATGCGCAAACGTAGCACTCATTTAGGAGACTACATATGTACTCCGCCCAAAAGGAGTGAGATTGCTCACATCTAAGCAACTACTTCTATTTATTGAAGACACAGGGCTTAGCAGTGAACTCTAACCACAGCAGCGATCACAATAGATCTTCTAGGTCGCAGTGATACTGGTTTATTTCCCTAGACCTGCATAGCTGCTCGCACATAATTAAGAAAAAGTGTCACAAGCTTGTAAACGGTTCTGTTAAAAATTTAATTTAAAATATTTAAAAAAAACGCGAAACAAAAAGAGCTGATGATCTTCTAACGGCTGAAAGGATTTCTAGCTAAGAGCACTCTCGATCAAGTCACTTTCCAACCAAAAATAACTAAATCCAAATTGGCTCGTCCGTTTTGGCGCTACGATGCCATGGACAGACACACAAATACACACGTTAAACTAAAGATACAATTCCGTAGCCGACTGCAGACAGCAGCAGCAAGTGACCTGTCGTCGCGACACAACTGGTTTCTATGTAGTTCTATGAAATACGTTCAGTAGCCTAGCGACACGTTGTTTGCCTAGCGGCAGACGACACTGTAGCCCGACCGCAGATCAGTAGTGCCGCCACCTGCGTCTGCTGCTGCTGTACGTCGCCTGCTGCTGCTTCCTGCAGTCGGCTACGGAATTGCACCTTTACAATACCCTCTGTTTTGGTCGGGGGTTAAAAAGAACGCATAGAAATACCAGCACCCCTCTTCGGCAATACTACTTTCACTTAAGTCACAGGACAGCGACGAGACATCCACATGTCCAATTTCAGAACATATTTATAAACAAACAGGCGATCTGCCCCAGCTTCGCAGCGGTGGTTTCTGGATGTGGACAACACCACCTCCTACCGCGTCCAATTGAAAATGCAAATCACCTAGCGACCCACCCAAACACACACAAATAATTTCATCAATATTAGCCAAGCCGTGCCAAAGTCAAGTATCATTTATTAACTAACTTACACATGCACATACATACGAGTATGTAATATCTTCGAGTATCACACAAATACCCATACACACATCAAACAAATTTAATATAAAGTCACAAGTGCTAATAGACCAATATAATAATATTCAATTAATACCTATGAATAAATAATTAATGTAGTAATATTGACTACTTAAAATAACTAACTTATATAAATTAATACAAATAGACTTATAATGAATACGGTCTATTATCACTGGAATCTAGACGAGAATTACTTGAATTGTGCTTTTTGCATGATATCCTTCACAGTAACATTAACAGCCCCAATTTTCACGCCGGATCAGGTTCTGCACTCCTAAGTACCGTACGAGAAAGACCCCACTTTTCAGTGTACCTAAACACCGTACCAAATACGGTATAAATGCTGTCATGTCTCGTCTAACCAAAATTTGTAACAGTATATATAGTACGTTGATATTTTCAATTTTTCTAAGTCTAACTTTAAACGCCAACTTATCTTGAAGCTCTCGGAGACTAAAAAGCCGTAACCGTCACATAACGTACATCTACTCTTTATTAACTGCATCTGTTTTATCTAAATTCTGTCGTGTCAATCTGAAAAGCATGTTGTTAATATAGTTATAATAAAATTTTAAGGTACATACATAAAATAACATGTTACATCTTATATATAACAATTATAATAAATAAATATATATAAATAAATATGTATATATGTATGTATATAACCATTTATTTTATTTTATTCAGTAAGTATTATTTTAATTTAATTATTATATTAATTTTATTTGTAAAATAGCTGCTAATCTAAAACCTATACTGCAATGCAATAAAATATTATTTAAATTATACCAAGTTATAAATTTACCTATCTGCTTCGTAAGTGTTATTCAGCATGTTGTGAAATTCTGTTATTGGCTAAGTGTATTATATATTTTTTAAAGTATGTTTGTAAAGAAAATGTTGTTGAGTTTCCTAATAAAATAAATAAATAAATAAATAAAGTTAATTGTATTTAGTGGTCTAACCTTACCTTTCATAAAAATATTAACTTTTATTTCGGTACTCATAAAAAAAAAGAATTGAATATCAATGTTAACTTTAGTATAAAACTAACTTTTGTTGTCGTTATTGTTACTGTGTTAAAGTTAGTGATATAATATATTTTGTGTCATGGAGGAAGGAACTGCCGTCTATGATACAGGCTCGGCCTAGTACAGCCGGCAGTAATAAACAGAAGTAAGCAACTTAAAAATTTGTAAAATTTGTACATAGCTTATTTTAAACATATTGTAAAAAAGCTTACTTATTGTAAAGGAAAGGAATATATAACTATGCTAATAAAGTTTATTTATTATTATTAAAAAGTGATTTTATTTATATAATTCTTTACTATAATATGCATATATTACACACATAAACCTTGCTCTAGAATCGTTCTGTCTATTGATGAAAACAGTATCAAAATACGTTGCTTAGTTTAAGATCTAAGCATGCAGACGGCGGGAAGCGACTTTATTTAATACTACGTAGAGATAATTCTTAAAGAGTAAGTGCCATACGCAACCATCACAGGGCACAGCTATACTAGAGCCTTTCCCATTGTACGAAACAGTTGCCATAATTGCCATACCTAGCAAGTGGATTAACAATCGCAGTATAAGACACCTCGCATCCTTGACACTGATGATTGTCATTCAGTTATAAATAGCACAGTTTTTATGGTAATTACAGTCGGGATGGAAGAAAGAGTTTGCTCACATTGGTCTTAACATAATATGTTAAAATGGAAGATCTAAGAGATAGAGGTGAAATTGCTTTTCTTTAGAAGTTCTTAACCCAAGTAACATCATCATTGAGTATACATAAGCAAGCTATGTTTTTTATAGCATAGGGTGACAAGCGAGCACACAGTCCACCTGATTGTAAGTGATTGCTGTGGCCCATAGACATCTACATCTATCCTAGATTACGAATCAAAATGCGGATGCGTTGTCACCCCTGAGGACTAAGACTGAACGCCTCGTTTCCAATAAAAGGTTCTCTGGTTCTCTACACTCACCATACGAAACAGTGCAGCGTAAGCTACTATTTTACGCTGGTATTCTGTGAGAGCGTCGTCCTTCCCCGGTGGAGCCGACCCATTAATGTTACAACTGTACTACTTATATAACTGCAGCATGGCTCTACCACGTATAAAATATGTGTACTCTACGAACGATGTGTACTCTAAGAACTTCCTACACGCGTCTCACTGCTTGACACTATTTGTATTAGGACTTACGGGTTAGTAGTGGAACGTGTATATTCCATTGCAAACCATTTCCCAGATCTGAGAGTTTTTAGGACAAGGAAGAGTTGAAGAGTTGAGTTGAGAAATGCAGATTCCATCACGATGATTCCATCATCGCCTCGGACGTGATAAATCCACACTTAGTATTTCAACTTACAATTTCGTTAGTGTCCCCGCAAGGATCTTGCTGCAGTGAAAGTCGAAAGAAGGTAGCTTTTATAAATTTTGACCTTAATTTCGTCTAAGCCTCTCGTAAACAAAGCATCTGTGACTTTTTTAATTTTTTTTTTATAGTATAGGGTGACAAACGAGCACACAATCTACCTGAAGGTAAGTGGTTGCTGTGCCCCATAGACATCTACATATATCCTTGATTACGAATCAAAATTCAGATGCGTTGTCACGCGTGAGGACTAAGGTGGTATGCCACGTTTCCAGTAAAAAGGGTCTCCGGTTCTCTACACACATCATCCGAAACGCAGTAGCATTAAGCTACTATTTTACGCTGGCATTCCGTGAGAGCGTGGTCCTACCCCGGTCGAGCCGACCTATTCCTGCTACAACTATACTACTAATAAAGGTGCAGCATGGCAACATTTTTTATTTGAAGTTAGTTGCAGTGACACGGTCCGCAGTAACCCCACTGTTAACTCATTTATCACTCTCATATTATAAAAGCCGGAAAAGTACGAGTGGGACTCGCAGCCTAACCCCCCCTACCTACTTTCACCGAAATAAACATTGAAATTCATAAATTACACTCGTAAGTAAGGTAAGCTCTGAACACGATGATTTGGTTACACGTAGAACGAATGAATGAGGAAAGAGTGACAAAACATATTTATGCTGTCGATGTAAGCATAAGAGGGGGAAAGGGAAGTTTATTTCCTTAATTTGCAATATATTGAAGATGGGCCAAATTAAAACTGCGTATCGATTATGCGAAAGGTACAACATTGGCGCGTTCCAGCCGCGTGAAATGGATGCCGCCTTGGAACGCGCGCCAAAATGTTCGTTGGCGCGCTCAAACTTGGAGCATGCCGCTCCATCTGGTGTCGGTTTCTTACCGCGTACGAAAGCACTTCATTTTTGGCGCGCGCGCCGGTTGGGACGGTTGCTTTTTATCATTCGTGTGTACGTTGCGTTCCGAGCTATGGATAACCAAAGTTGCCGTAAATTAATACAATTATATGGTTCAAAACATATACTGTGGAATAGCAAAAATCGTTTTTATCATAAGAAAGCGCTTAGAGAAGATGCATGGAGAGAAATAAGCGCTGAAATGGGAGTATCTGTGCCAGAATTGAAGAAAAAAATGACCGTGCTTTTGTCATCTTACAGGAGAGAAAAATGGAGAATGTCTAAAAGCCAAATTACCGGCTCTGGTAACTATACACTAATTTTTATTAGAATTAACTCTTAATTAATCCAAAAGGGCAGTTTTATTTAAATAATAATATTGTTAACAGCATCGTTGGCATACATATCTTAATAAATGACCGCCACTTTGAAAATATCTCGTTTTGGCGGCCTGTGATGAAACATGCATCAATTGATAGAGTTTATAAACTACTTACTAAAAAACGAGATTTTTTCAAAATAGCTCTCGGTAGGTTTACCAGGTTCCACACAAGAATATTCGAACCTTTTTATGTTTAATTTCTAATATATTTTTGTATTTATCATGAAATAAATATAGTATTTCATGGGACTACTCATATTGTAACTAAACTGAATTAATAAAACTAAGTACTCATACTTATTTCAATTGTTTACTGTTCACAGGTCGAAAGAGATATGTATCAAAATGGTTTGCTTTTGATGACTTTAGTTTCATGCAAGACAAGCTTACGACCAATGATACCACAGGCACTATGCAGGTACATAAATAACGTCAATAATTTTAATACCTATTCTACCATGGTCTTCCTCCATTAGTTAAGTTTTAACAAGATGTAAACGGATTTCCTTTAAAAATCTTAAATTAGTAATAAAAAGTAATAATGGAAGTTCACTGTCATTTCTCCAACTTCCGAGTATTATTTCAGTATCTGTCTCCGTATCTAAAGTTCCACGTGGCGTGTAATGGGAACTAGATTTTTTCTTAAAAAGTTTTGTAGTCTTATCACGTGATACACATAGGTTTCCTTAACACCTTAAAATTGAGCTTGCCATTCGGAAAGCATTTTCCAATTCTACGTCCTTACGACAAGGCGATAGTTAAATATTCTTTCTAGAGACCCTCTCTCTGTCTGCCAAAACTACATATGACAAATCTCGTACGGTATTTGAAGTGTCGATGACGGAGGTATTTCCATAGACTTTTCTTCGAGTTTTTGTACAATGTAGTGTGTTTAAAGATCCCTCCGTCTGAAAGTCTCCCTTGACAAACAATTTCAACGTATCTAAAACAGTAATCTGCGTCTACGAATGCTAATAGGTCGTATGAACAGCGTTTGTACTTATTTAACATCCCGTGCCGCTCTTAACAGGTGTTTTCCATCCATGGCATCTATAGCGTGAGGAAAATTCCATTTATCATCAAATTCTTGAGATATCTCCAACCATTCTTTATCTGAGGATCTGTAAAAAATACACTTAAATTAATTATATGTACGTTTTCTTTTCAGGAACCTACATCAAATAATGAAGGCGAATCTTCTCAAGAAACCTCACAAAAAAAACTAATGGAGAAAATGTTGGAGAGTGTTTTATTAACACAAGCGAAAAAGTTTCAGAAAAACCTGCCAAGAACTCAAAGAAAAAGAAAACATGATGAAGAGGAGAATGAAATGTTGACGGAAGCATTTAAAATTCTTACTGGAACGTCTCAAGCTACTGATCCATATCTCAGTTATGGCCAGTACATAGGAAATGAATTAAGAAAATATGACAAACACACTTTGATATACGTCAAACAGGCAATAAATAATATCATTTTTGAGGCCGATTTAGGCAAGTATAGTCCAAAGTGCGAGACGCAACATGGGACTCCAAATTCGTCAACACGAAATTTAATTGATGATTCCTAGGGCACAATGTCACCTCATGATAATGTACAGTTACTGAAATAAAACGAAGTTTCTTAACGCTGTGATTTTTTTACTCACCTTCACCCGAAACCGCACTGACACTGATGACATCACCTACGTCTGGGACTATTCTAGATATTGATTGTATTGAAACTCTATAAAGGAACTGTAAGCTTATTTATAGCCTACCTTTCGGCCACTGTAATAACTTCTCGAAAATGGGTGTCCATTTTTTTTAACCTTGACACGATTAAATTTCTCAAGTAATTAAAATCCTCTGTTGACATCCTTTTAAAAATATTTATCGTGTCATCAACAGCTGCAAACTTTCAAACGAGTATCTCTGATGAGTCTCACTCCATACAGCACTGTCATTTCGGTACAATTCTTTCATCCACCAACGCATTTTTTGCTTTTGTTTTTCTTGTATATAATACTCTGAATAACTATGAAAGCGGTGGCTACTCGAACACGACCGACATCCAAGACGTTCCGCGAACCGCACCTGGTCGATCGTTGATGGCGCGCGTGCCAGGAGCGCGTTAATCGATGAGTCTTAACTTAACCGACAAGCATGCATGCGTAGAAGAAACCTCTTTCGATTTAAACATCATCGAGTCTCATTCTTGTGTGTCATCCATCAGGTTGCCCCTGTATGCCCCACTGCATGACATGCTTTTTTTATATAGAAGAGGCGGCAAACGAGCATGCGGCTCACCTGATGTTAAGTTGGGGCCTTGCAGGTGCGTTGCCGGCCCTTTAGAAAGGAGTAAGCTCTTTTCTTGAAGGTCTCTAGGTCGTATCGGTCCGGAAAATCGCCGGTGGTAAACTATTCCACAGAGAGGTCGTACGCGGAAGAAAACTCCTTTTGAAACGTACAGTGGTGGACCGCCAAGCATCCAGATGGTATGGATGGTATCGGGACGTTTATATAAATATGTAAGTTATGTAAGCATCAAAAATTTCTCTAATGAAAAATTAAGTTGGATTGAAGGACATACTTAACTTCGCAGTGGAAATTTATGTTTACAGCACAGTCGATGCTCCAACAAAATACGGAAGTTTGTAATCGCAAAAATATTTTTTATACTATTGTTATAATTAATATATATTTCTATTATGATTATTTATATGTTATAATGTATCACAAAAAATTCATTTTTAATCGGAAAACGAACGAATACCCTAAAAGACAACTAGCTTAGCCAAAAAGTAAACAAAATAAAATCATTCGTATCATAAAATATTCAACCAATACATACAAAAGTATTTTTTATGAAATAAGGGTGACAACCGAGCGCACAGTCCACTTCATGGTAAGTGGATACTGTGACCCATTTTAAACATATACATTTCTCACAGTTCTCGACTAAGAATCAAACTGGAGGTGCGTTGTCACCCCCAAGGATTAAAATGGAATGCAACGTATCCAGTAAAATGGGTCTCCGGTCTCTACACTCACCATATCGAACAATGCAGAACATGGAATTGATATGCTACTTTACTCTGGTGGTCCCTCCTCGGTCGGAAACGTTCGGACACATTCGTACCACAAGTATGTATATATATTATAGCTACAGCATGGCTCTACCACGTATAAAATATATATGTATATATTTATATGCGTACATATTTTAAACCTAAACATATATATATATATATATATATATATATATATATATATATATATATATATATATATATATATATATATATATATATATATATATATACAAATATAAATTGTAATGATTAAAACTACTTTTACGGATTGAGATGCATAGATCGGACCATAAACAATAATTAAAAAAGCTGAAGGTACTCCGGGTTTAACAATGACATCGGGACGTCAGTCATCTCAGTCCCCCGTGACCATGGGTGCTGGAAAGCGCCCGAAACGTCGGGAATTAAAAATAAAAAGTAAAAATAAACGCGATAAAATCCGTAAAAGTAGTTTTAATCATGTGCAATGTTCGCGTAAATATAAGAAATCATTATAAATTGTAATGTTTGTAATATGTGAAATATAATAACAGATATTTTAATAAAGTTCTTTGCACTTTGCACTTAGTAACTACTCCGCTTAGCCTGTAGGTTTTTTTATATAAAAAATTAGCTCACTCTTGACCTCCATCTGGCCCGGGGGCAAAGATGAGGTCTACGATGCAACGAATTTTACCAGGAGAAGCCTGTACCAGTAGGCTGGTAGACTTCACAGCACTTTAAGTTTGCCTTTTTGTACTTAGTGTGCAAATAAAGCTATATAAATATAAATAAAACTGAAGTGTCTGTTTGTAATTTCAAAATATCTGGCTATTTTAAAGCTCAGATGTTTGTATGCTAAGTGTTAAACAGCCAATTTTAAAAGCTTTGTTTGTCTGTCGAAAATTTAAACCAATAAATACGTCTTGTGTAGTCCGATAATTATTTCTTATAGTTTATGAGAGTTTTATCAAAAATCATTTTAAAAATAATATCCAAGATCACTCCCGGCATTGCCCTCGATCTGTTTGTAACTTTAGCTTTACACTCTCATAAACTATAAGAAATAATCATCGGACTATACACATATTGGTTAAAAAATTTCACAAAAAAGGTCCTTTCACTTTATCTTATATCTCAAACTGCAAAGTCGATTTTTTTACTTCAACGCCATTTAGCAACGAAACTGAGTGTTTAGTAGAAAAGGAATAAGACCTTTTTACGTGAAATGAATAAATTTTTGCTTTTAAAATTAAACATTTTTCTTTTATTAAAGAACTTCAGTGGGGGACGCCCCCTGACCAGATTGAGCGACGATCTGTGCAAGGTGGCTGGTAGAAACTGGATGCATGTAGCTGAAGATCGGGTTAAGTGGCGCGCCTTGGGAGAGGTCTATGTCCAGCAGTGGACTGTCGCAGGCTGATGATGATGAAAGGACTTCAATAAGGGGGAGGGTCCCAATCTGAGTGTATGATTATTTTTGTACGTATGTTATGCGATATTTTCGCAGGTTGTCAAATTTTGATGATTCTTTTTTTATTATTAAATAGGTAGTATAAATTCCACGTCTAAGGGTAACAAACAAATAACTTCTTTTTTAGCAATTTGAAGTCGGTTTTTATTTTTTGTAAATAGTTACAATTATTAGGTAAGTACACATAATTTTCGCAATATATAAGCAAAAAAAACATAGTTAAAAATTAATTTTTGATAATCAAACTACTTCCACTAGGCCGACTATTATAGATCTGTATCTGTAGGATTTTAAAGTAAAGGCTAATTAGCAACATAAAAATAAACAGATAAACATGAAAAACAATTCTTTTAGATAGCAAAAATCTTTTGGCTAGACAATAATATCACATTAAAAACATAAGGATAAAATAACAGCCTGCATACATCCCACAGCTGGGCACTGAACTTATTTTATTTCAATAACGTAGCGCCAATTAGTGTTGGTGGACTCGACATGTCATAATATGATGTAATATCCACATAATAAATATGCACACTCATAAATTATCACATTAAATAAACACTAACAAAAATGAATAAAACTTCATGGCCAGGAATACGTTTAAAAATAAAGAAACGATTAAAACTCTGCTACGATACGCCCGCCTTACGATGTCGTAAATTATGTTGAAATGTTATAAAACTAAATGCATGAAACAAATCGTCGACAAGCGGGAGGGATGAGGGGACGCGGGGTGAGGTGGTATAGGCGGTAGAGGGGAACCTACAACTCTACTACGGGCACTCTCTGTTTCATTCATAACTTTTTACAAGTTTATCTGCGACGATACCTCCTACATATTTATGTGTTTGCGGCTGCGATGGTACAAAGATTTAAAATATTATAATATCTTTCAGAAGCGTCAAAGCTTTGTGAAACCTACAATAATATGAGTTTACTAACGTATTTTTAATACTGTTGCGCGCCTAAGTTGACGTCTAGTGCCTGGCACTGGCGCCATCTAGTGTCGGGGAGTCAGGGACCAGAGCGCGGAGGGCTTCCTAGAAAAGGCCAATCTTGAACTTTCCACCAATAGCGCCATCTAGTATCGAACAGAAAAACTAAGCTTTCTAGAAGACCCACACTCGAACTTTCTACGCCTGGTCGGTCGGCGCCCGTATTTTCAGGAATATTCTGGATATTTCGGTGGAAAAGGTGTGTTTCAAGGCGCTGCAAGACGCGACAGTATTGAATTTGGCGAGACAAGCGAAGCTTCGGAGAGAAATATGGTGAATCAGTGTGATTAATTATTAGTGTTTTAAGTTTCAATTGGTGTTCGGTAATAAAAGTGTGAATTTTGGTAATTTAATCGGCAGTTTTTATTGTCACGAACCTCAAGCTCGTAACAATACATAACAATTGTAACAGCAATATAAAAAAAACATTGATTAAATATTTTTCAAATATAATTACATGAAGTTAGAAAATTACCCCTGAAATTTCTGACATCTTACCACAATAAGTAAGAGTGGCAATAAAGTTAACAACTAAATTAACTGCACAGAAATTGATTTAGTCCCTGTTGAGCTTAACATCTATTATATTTTGTCTGTAAGATCGTATCAAAGTGTACTATGTATATACATCCATAACTACTTTATGCCACTAATGATCAGATTACTAGTTTTTTGTAGCTTTCAGCGGCGTTTTTATTACTAATTCTATAAACAGTAAACTTATCTTACATATATTATTCTTCATGTTATCAAATAATATATCTATGATTATTGCTCACGTTATTGGTTAAAAAAACCGAAGTTTAATATTATTTTATTTCAGTTAGTAATTTTTCTACAGCAAGATAAAGGTCTTGTCTCTAAATTTTTTTAGGTATACTATGTATTTATTCTTTATTTCTAACGTATAAAACGCCTAAAACGCCTAATCTTGTAAAATTAAAACTAGATTCAATACATTTTTTTCGAAGTTCATTCCGTTCGAAGACGTTTACTACAATTTTAGCGTTGATACTATTCTTGATTTTATATTTCCCTTTTTTCAT